AAAAAGATGTTCCGGTCTCAGTTCTGTCCCATAGAAGCTGTAGGACCTTGAATTGCTGAGCCTCAGTTTTCTCATCTGCAAAATGGGGATAAGAAACCACATCTATCTCATCGAGCTGTTAAAGGAATACAACAAGAGAATGGATTCAAAAGTTCCAGGCTCCCACTAGGATGAGGGGCCATAAGGCAAGTTGAGGGCCAAGCACAAGCTAGCACACACACCACCTCCCTAGGCGGGATGTGTGCGATAGTCCTCAGGCACCCCTGGCTGCCCAAGAACAAAGGAAAGGAAAGATAACAAATGGTTAGCTGATAGAGATCAGTCTTGCAGGACCTGAGTCTCTCTCCTTTACAAATGTCTTGGTAAATTACAAGAAAAAGGCAATCTATCAATAGCCTAATCTCCAGAAACCTCTAGACTCAGTTTCCTGGAGCCCCAACATCACCCTCCCCTCCACAACGATGTGGGGAACAAAGGTAAGAAGGAAATGGCGGGTAAGATTAAGTGTATTTGTAACCTGCAGCCCATTGACGAATACTTGAGGCAAAACAGAACAGAGCCGTTTCTCCAGGAACCCCCTGCCGTCCTACTGTTAATGCCTCACTAGAGGGAAAACCACCTTAGCTTGACAACCGCAAGGCCTCAGGTATCTTAGGAGCCCTCTTTAGCACATCAAAGTCCTTCTGGAGGCTTCCCTTTTGTCTTCACCTCCCCCAACCCCAGAGCTTACAGCCCCAGGGCAGCTCTTCCTGCCCCCGGGTCCTAGCCCCGAGCCTTAACAAAATCACCTTTTTGCACCAAAGATGTCTTCAAGAAACCTTTCTTGGCTGTCAGTTCCAGACTCCCAACATTCCAAAACCCCATCAAGTAGGTGCTTACTAAACGGATCCCCCCCCCCCCACACACACATTCTTTGTCTCCCTCTTCAGGAGGCAGTTTCTTTGCACAAGGGTGGAGCTCCTGCTTGGGGGTACAGGACAGGGCCTGATCTTGGCCCTGCTTTCCTGGGGCGGGGCGGGGTAGGGGACTTTAGGAAGAAGCCACCAGCTGGGATAGTGTTTCAAAATTACGAAGACTTGTACCCTTCACCCCCCACTCGGGCAGCTCTCGGTTCCTGGAAGGCAGAGCTCTCAGCCACTTCCTGGAAGCAGAGAGGCTAGGAACAAAAAAAAAAAAAAAAAAAAAAAGGCCCCACCCGCTGTTCCTGCAAGGAGGGGAGGCTCTCGCCCTCCCCTGCCCTCTCCCTGCGCCCATCCCCACCTCCCCTGCATGCAGAGGCAACTTGGGGTGGAGGAGAGACCGCTCAGCAGCCGTGTCACCTGAGCCTCGTTCCACCCTCTCTGAGCCTCAGTGTCCTAATCTGTAAAACGGGCGACCTTGCTTCAAAGAATGGTCCTGAGAATCTAATAGCATGCTGCAGGGAAGGTCCCTGAAGCTGGCATCCAGCAGGGAGTGTTTCACTGGGAGAGCCTCTTGGGGGCTGTGCACAGAGGGGCAGAGGAAACAGAAATCTCAGAGTCAGGGAAGGTACGGATACGGCGGCCTCCCCACCTCCGCCATGGGCAGTGAGGGAGGCTTCGTGTCCAGCGTGAGAGCAGAGGCCTCCCTGTGTGTTGAGATGAGACAGAGCACACCGGGAAAGCTCCCATCTCCCGGCCCAGGTCTAATTAGGGCCAACATCCTCGTCCAGGATTCCTGATGTTAGTGCTGAAAATCATCCCCTTATCCCTCATCCTGTGGCCTCAGTCCCAGGCAAGCTGGGGTGGCCGGTCACCCCAGCCTGCCGCCTGCCATCCCACAGACCTCAAGGGATAGGGACCATGGACATCACAGCCGCGAGCCAGGCTGTGGCTGGGCAGGCATCAGCCCATTTGACAGGGAAAAAAAAATCCCGGCTCCTGGGGGTCCTGTGACTCCGAGGGGGCCGTGCAGGTAGCGAGGAGAGGAGCGCTGTGTCTGGCTCCCAAGCCAGTGCTCCCAAGTAAGTGCTTTACTTCAAGTTAAATGCATGGTGATATAAGGACGATGGTATTCCAGAAGGCCCCACCGCGGCTGGACCATTTCATCACCCTACTCACTCCACCCTGGCACTGGCCTTTGCGAATCCCATTACACAGATTAGGACAGCAAGGCTCAGGAGAGCGAAGTCCGTTCCTCAGAGGGGTGAAGCCTCCACCTTCCACCTTTCTCCCCCCAGAGGCAGGAAAACGGTCACTCACCACAGGAGGGGGGCTCTGAGAGAGGGGCAGACTTGTCACACCCTTGTCACACTCTTCCTGCTTGCCTAACAGAGTAGGTCAGATACGGCCCGTTTCCTGTCTTTCACCCTAAAACCAGGGTGCTCTGCCCGAGCCCCACCCAGGCTGTAGAGGGGCAGGCTGCTGGCGGGGGGCCCACACCCTGCTCCAGGTGTGGGGAAGACGCCAGGGCGCCGTAAGAAGCTTGGGACTTTGCATTCAGAATCTTGGATCCCGGGAATCCCAGCACTCAAGAGTTTGGAACCTCAAGATGTGAAAGACTGAGCATCTCAGGGTGTGGGTGAAACAGCCACCAAGAGACGGGAAGGCTCCAGATCAACAAGTAGGTCAAACCGAGGCCCAGGTGCCCTCCCCCTCAGACCTCAGGGCATTTCTCAGGGCTGGCGGACAGGATAGGCCCCGGCCCAGCCCGGCTGGCCCGGCTCAGGATCTGATCCAGTCAAACCAGATCCAGTCCCAGCTCTGGCACTTACAAGCTGCGTGACCTTGGGCAACCGAACTCACCTCTCTGAGCCACAGGCTCCTCATCTGGAATACGAAGACAATGACAACAGCACGGAGTGGGGTGGTTGTGGGTTGAAGTGAGCTGGCTCAGGCTGAGGGTTTAGCACACATTAAGTGCTCAACAATGGCCAGCTGTTGTCCTCGTCATTCTGCATTTAGGGCCACCTCCCGGAAATATCGGAAATATCCCCAAAGGCATAGCTTTGACATACCTACCTCTGATCTTGGCGGAGAGGGCTGGGACGGGGAGCCCTAGAAAACTGTCTCCACAGCAAGCCCTGGCCCGTGCCTGGTTTGCAAAGCACATGTGTCAAGTGTAGACAAGGTTCCAGGCACTGGTTTGAGAGCTATTCGTGAATTACTAGCTCACTCAGGCCCTACAACCTCCTCTATTAATCCCATGTGAGGGATTAATAATCCCATCTATTCTCCAGAGTTGAGCAAATGGCACCTTCTCCAAGAAGCCATCCTGGATTGCTCAGGCATAGTCATTCCCATTGTTTAAACCATTTAAAATGTTTGTTTACTTGAGGCTCCTGGGTGGCTCAGTCGGTTAAGCATCTGACTCTTGATTTCAGCTCATGATCTCATGGTCACGAGATCAAGAGCCCCACGTCAGGCTCCACACTGGGCTCGGAGCCTGTTTAACATTCTTTCACTCTCTCCCTCTGCCCCTCCCCTACTCATCGTGCTCTCTCTCTCTTTCTCTCTCTCTCTAAAAAATAAATAGGGGCGCCTGGGTGGCTCAGTCAATTAAGTCTCCGACTTCGGCTCAGGTCATGATCTCGCTGTTTGTGGGTTCGAGCCCCGCGTCGGGCTCTGTGCTGGCAGCTCGGAGCCTGGAGCCTGCTTCGGATTCTGTGTCTCCCAAGCTCTCTGCTCCTCCCCCACTCATGCTCTCTCTCTCTCTCTCTCTCTCAAAAATAAATAAACATTAAGAAAAATTAAAAATAAAACAGTAAAAAATAAATAAAATGTTTACTGTCTAAAACTCCATTCCCACTGGCCCATAAACTCCAAGGGGACAGGAGAGATGTCGCCGTTCACACCACATGCGCAGGGCTCAGCAGGCACCGTGACACCTGCCCATCGGCACGGGCACCGTGGCTGCCCCACTGCCTCCGCCAGATCACAAGCTCTTGCAGGGCAGTCTCCGCTGGGTCCCCAGCACCGACAGGCCTGGCCTCCTGGGGGTCATTAAACGCCCGCTGCAGGGGTGGTGCGTGAATGGGACAGAGGCCACCAGCAGGCAGGTGCACAGGACATGTGCCCTCGGGCTTCCCGCACGGTGCCTGCACTTCCCCACCTTTTCTCAGCATCTCCCCCGCCCCCAGCAAGGAGCCCTTTCAGACTTTCTTCCCCTTAAATTTTTTTTTCCTTAAGTGCATCTGAACTCGCGACCCTGAGATCAAGACCTGAGCTGAGATCAGGAGTCAGATGCCCAACCGACTGGGCCCCCCAGGCGCCCCCCCCCCCATGCATTTTAATACCACAGATACACCTGTTTACTGTTCCGTAGCCTTTGCAGGAACACGAGCCACAGTGACGGTGAAGACTTTGGGGTTTTGCCCACCTACCAAAAAACCAAACTTTCCCCTTTTGGACCCTGAATTGGCTAGCCTGGTCCAGAGGAGGTAAGCTGTTTTGCACACGTGAATTCAAAGAGACCTACTCCTGGTTTTAGTTTAACAACTGATGGCTGGCTGAAGACCTGTGTCGACAGCCAGGTGGACAAGCACACAGACGCACAGACACGCTCCAGCCATGCTGTCTCCTTCTCGCCTGAGTCTCGTGCCCCGCCCCACCCCCACCATCTTCTTGCTCAAGGTCAGCAAAGGAGACTGAGAAGCCAGGGCCGGGGTCGCCGGGGGCTCCGCGAGGGTCCTGCAGCCAGACGGGGCCGCGGTACGTCCAAGCCCGGCCACCTCCCAGCCAGGCCACCGTGGGCAGCCGTTTGTCCCCTCTGAGGGTTTCCCATCTGCACAAAGGGGGCACAGCATGCTTGGACGATTCCCCGGGCCCTCCGAAGCCCCTGCTCCAGCCTGGCCGAGCTTCCCCAGAGGCGCTCAGCCCAACAGCCCGGTCCCTTCCGCTATCCGGGTTTCAATCTCCCTTGGCTGCTGGCCTAGCCTGGTGAGGAAGGCATAGACCATTTTGGGTGTGGCCAGGCAAGCCCCAAAGGAAGCCACCAACGTGTCTGGGCCTAGGGGGGGGTCACCTCCTGAGCCCCTTGCCCAGTGAGAGGCCTGCTCTCGGGGGACTCGAAGTCAGAGATGGGAGAAGAGGAAAACGAGAGGGTCCAGGAGGGAAGGAAGAGAACTCCCGGCGCCTGGAGCCCTAGATCATTGTCTATGGTGTGTGTGTGTGTGTGTGTGTGTGTATATGTGTGTGTGTGTGTATGTGTGTGTGTATGTGTGTGTGTGTATGTGTGTGTATGTGTGTGTGTATGTGTGTGTGTATGTGTGTGTATGTGTGTGTGTATGTGTGTGTGTGTGTGTATGTGTGTGTATGTGTGTGTGTATGTGTGTGTATGTGTGTGTGTATGTGTGTGTATGTGTGTGTGTCGGGGGCCATAGCTTTAGGTACTACCCCCCCACCACTCTCCTTTACGCCCCGAAAGCACCCCAAATACAAATACCTAAGAGTATTCAAATTCTGATGATTACTTTCTCTTTTGCTAGCAATATTAGCGTCCTAATTCTAATATTTTCATACTTTTTCGTATTTTTTGTTTCGTATTTTTTCAACAATTTTTCCAACGTCATAACAAGTGAAAGTGCAAAGAACACAGTTTTGGAGGGGCGCCTGGATGGCTCAGCTGGCTAAGTCCCCGACTCCTGATTTCGGCTCAGGTCATGATCTCATGGTTCGTGAGTCTGAACCTTGCGTCAGGCTCCGCGTCGACAATGTGGAGCCTGCTTGGGATTCTCAATCTCTGCCCCTCCCCTGATTGCACTCTCTCTCAAATAAATAAATAAACATAAATAAATAAATAAATAAATAAATAAATAAATAAATAAATAAATAAATAGATAAATAAATAAATAAATAAGTAAATAAGTAGATAAATAAATAAATAAAGTGAGGGAAAAACAAAAAAAGAATGCAGCTTTGGAGACAATATTTTTATGGATCCAGAGCCTCAGAAGCTTCCAGATAGGCCCTGCACCTGCTCCCCCTTTCTGGAATCACCCAGCCCTAACCCCAGCTCTGCTCTGAGCAATTCCCTTCACCTCCCCATGCCTTGTATGAAAGGAGGGGTAGCATGATTTTTAGAGAAATGCTCCTGATTTTTCGGACTTTTTCTATTAAGAAATGTCACCCTCTCCGAGCCAGCAGCTGCTGGCAGTCCCAATGGGAAGGTTAGGATAGAAGTTGAGGATCTGGAAGAGACTGTGGAATAAGGCCACGACCTCGATCCTGAGCCCCTCTCCCCTCACCCCGAGCCCAGGCTCTGGTTCAGAGCTCAGGTCCTGCCCCGGGACTGCCCTCCAGTGTCAGGCAGGCCAGGCCTGCCGGTCCCACAGCTCCCCCCAGCCACTCCCTATGGTTTTGTGAGCTGGCACTTACCCTGCTCAGCAGAGCATGGGACAGCTGCCTCGTGAGCCGGGGAGAAGCCGCTTCTCTGCCTCAGTGACAGGGACCGAGCCCACACTGCCAGGGCACTGCTGTGGCACCCGGGGCTGTGGTCCCAGACCCTGCCAACCTTCAACGGCCTGTGTGAAAGAAGGAAGCGAGAGTGTGGTTACTCAGACAGGGCCACGTGACGGCCCACACCCCCTTGTTTGTGACAGTTTTGGTGACAACGTTGATTGAGACTGGGTGGGTGGTGACGGACTGGGACCTGCTGAGCCCGGGAGCACTCTGGGGTTCTGGTAGGTATGAAAACATCAAGAAGCTTCTAGAAGATTTCTGGGGAGGGCTGGTTGAGGAGGCCCCAGCGCGACCCCATGGTGATGGAGAGTAGGGGTGGGGCGACCCTGCCCTGGAAGGAAGGCAGTGACCAGACGCAAATAAGGATGGTTCTAGACTCCTGTCCAAGAAGGGAGCCGGGGTGGGAGAAACCACAGAACACACACCTTCCTGAGGTTTGCAAATACGATGCAGTCATTCCTTCCAGAGTCATCTCTAGATGCACAGGTGGTCCTTTTAGCTCCAATCGGTAACTTCTCTGAGGAGCTAGATGGCAAAGTCCATCAGGGCAAGACATGCTTATTTTATTTCTCTATCCGGACTCACTCATTTGGCCACGTCTGGCACACCAAGGCTGCATGCTCGGAGGTCCAAAAGCAAGCAGTTCTGGGCTCTGGCTCCAGAAGCTCTTCGTCTGGTGGGGAAGCCAGCAGGTGAACCAGTAAACAGACCATTACACACAGTATTGTCACCCTGCGGTGAGCGAGGGAGGGGCCCCTAAACCACCCTGGCCAAGGGAGGGGCTGTCAGGGGAGTCTTCCAAGAAATGGTGCAGGGATGAGAAGTAGGGGTGGGCTGGGTGGGCATCCCAGGCAGAGAGCACAGCGTGGCCAATGGCCAGGAGACCTAAGAGAGCACAGAACTCTCAAGGGAGTGAAGGAAAGCATCATCTCCCGGGGTCTGGCCTGTGGCTTTGTATAGGTGGGATGCAGGACGTATGTGGACAGGGGTTCTTACCCTACCTTACACACAGGCAGTTTTAAAATGGAAACCGGGGGCGCCTGGGGGGCTCAGCGAGTTGGGCGGCCAACTTCGGCTCAGGTCATGATCTCACGGTTCGTGGGTTCGAGCCCCGCGTCAGGCTCAGGGCTGACGGCTCGGAGCCTGGAGCCTGCTTCGCATTCTGTGTCTTCCTCTCTCTCTCTCAAAAATAAATAAACATTAAAAAAAAATTTTTAATGGAAACTGGAAACCCAGTGGGTATTCACCACTGGGGCCTCCATCCTGGAAGGGACCAAAAACTCCCCCGGTCTGCAGAGACAGGGAAACTGAGGCTCCAAAAGGGGAGGTAAGAATGTTAGAACTTCCCACCCTTCCCCAGCAGGTTTGGAAGTAGCCAGCCCTCAGGAACAGGGACTGAGAAGCTCGAAACAGACCCACGTCGGGGCTGGGGGCCACTCTCAGGTTATAGGAGTTCCAGATCAATGTTTTGGCCCGCGTTCACAAGCATGTCAGAGACAGGACAGCCCCTCCTCTAGGAACAGCCTTGGGTCCCCACCCCTCAGACCAGCTCTTCCTGAACCAGAATCCGTTACCAGATCCACAGTTCTGACACCAGCAGTGAGGTCCTGAAGACGCAGAGGACAAGGGGAGGGCGGTCTCCCTTCCTGGTCTGCCGGAGACCGACCGGGTTCTGGGGATGCAGAACTTTCAGGCTTAAAACTGGGTATGTCCCTGGCCCCTTTCAGGCCAGGGGGCCAGGAGAGCCGGCCGTTTGCTAAACTCTGAATGGGCTATCAGAGGCTGTTACCCCCACCCGCGGCGCTGGGGTGGAAGGACTGGCCGAGGGGGCAGGGTCGGGGGGGGCAGATGCAGACCCCCACACCCCCCAGATGTATCCCTTCCTCCCCCTCCCGGATGCAGCCACACGCTGCTTCTCTGGAGGGTCGGGCATAGCCTGGGGAAGAGGAAACTACCTGGTCCTTTATGCCATCTGTGAGCTTTGCAAACCATCTGGGAGCAGGGCCCTACAGGGGACAACTCGCAAGGCTGGGGAGCGGGGCGGATAACTGGCCTCGTACGACCTGTGTGACCTTGGGCAAGTCGCTTCCCTCCAGCCTCGGCTGCCTCACCTGCAAAGCCGAGCAGTACAAACGCTTACCATGGTCCTTGGCCTCTGCCACAGGCCAGACGCTGCGCATCGTATCGGCTCACGTACTGCGCAGAGCCGCTCACGTACTGCCCAGAGCCGTCTTTGGCGGTGGGGAAACTGAGGCTCAAAGCGAGGCCGTGCCTCGCTCCAGGTCACACAGCGTCGGCGGCAGACCCAGGTCCGGGCAGCCGGAAGAAAGCCCAGCCCTCTGTCTCGGTGCCTGGCCTGTGATTGTGCTGGCTGAAGCGCTCTGTGTAAAAAGGGAATAACCGGGGGCCGGCAAACCCTTTCAAGGGAAGACTCGCCCAGCTGAACGGACCTCGCAGAGGAACAGACATTGCTAAGAGCGCTCCAGCTCGCGCGGTCTGTGCGGAGCCCATAAAGCCACAACTCATGGCACCTAACACCTGTGAGATCCAAGCATTCACAGTGAGCGGGTTTCCACTCCTGCAAGTGGGGCCCCGAAAAACACTCCCCAAAAATGCCTTCCAAGACGGGAGCAATTATACTTAAGGTGAGAGAAACGGTGGGAAAAAGCAGACCAGTCCCAAAGTCACGGAAGCCTGCCCCCTGATGAAGCGTGAGGCAGGTGTTAAAGTCACGCCGTGCAAAGCGCTCACGCCTCGTTAGTGGAAAAGCAGGGGTGAAGGTGTATAAAGAGCAGAGTCGCAGCAGAGGGTGGGTGCTCAGCAGAGGCACTGAAAGAAATGCAGGGCTCATCTCTGACTGGCCCAGCGATGGGTGGCTCTCCTCTTGCCCATAAACCTTCCTTCCCTATATTTTTAAACAGAGAAATATACATAACAATCTACATGTTGACCTTGTTATCAAGAAACAGAGATTTTAAGCAAGGCAAGGACTTTATAGACACCCTAGATTTCAGAATGACTAGACAGTTGCTGCCTTGGTCTGTCTCCACCCTTCTGGGGTATTCTGGGGACGGCCCTTCCCACGCCCCAGCCCTGTGTTTCTCGAAGCTACCAACCGTGGTTTCCTAAGGCCCCTTGGCTGCAGCAATGGGCCAGTCAAGTCACTTCCTCTTATGCTCCTCAGCCTGACTCTGAAGGATTCTCCAGAAGGGGTTAGAAACCCATTCAGACATCATAGACTAACCGCCCCGCCCAGAGGGCAACTCCTTTCCCTAGAGCAGGAGCAAGGGGCTTTTTCTGTAAAGGGCCAGAGGCTAAATCTTTTCAGCTTTGTGGATCTGTCTCAAATATTCAACTCTGTGGTGGTAAACATGGAAAGAGCCGGTCCGTATGTAATGAATGGGCGTGGCTGTGAGCCAGTAAAATTTTCTTTGCAAAATCAGGTGGAGGGCCAGACTTGTCCCACTGGCTGATCCCTGACCTAGAGAAATGAGGAGACACTGGCTATGGGGAGAACCAAACTGGAATAAGAAGTGACCCACCAGGTCCCCACGGATGGACAGAATGAAACACGGGTCCCCCTCAAGACTAGGCTGCTGGCTTTCTCGGCGCAGGGCACATTTATTGAGCCCTGACAAGTGCCAGGCACTGGAATGAGACGCACCTAAGACAGATGCTATCCTTGCCTTCTGGGGGCCTCCGGATTCGTGGCCAGGCCAAAAGCCACAATCCAGGGTCACTGAATATAGCCAGGTGGAGAGCACAGGTCTGAGAATGAGAATCGGGTCCTTTAGGCTTGCTGCGTGGCTTTAGGCAATTCACTTGAGCCCTCTGAAAAACGGTCTCATCTGGAAAATGGAGGCGTGAATGCTTAGTGCAAAACAATGCAAGGAATCAGTGAAAGTCCAAGAGCATGTTTATTTTATTTTATTTTATTTTTAATTTTTTTAAATGTTTATTCATGTTTATTGGGCTGCAGATGTAGGCAGAGCCCAATCGCCTCGTCTCTGACTCCCTGAGTCTCTCCATCTTAAAACGTCAGAGCGGCTACAGGTCTCAGGCCCCCAGTCCTCAATGGAAAATCCTTGCTCCAAGTTCAAGAACAACTCTCTGCCTGTGCAGGATTCGATGGCTCCCCATTGCTTTTAGAATAAAGACTTAAATCCCTGACATAGTAGACAATACCTTGCCCCCCCTCTTCCTCTCCAGTTCATCTCATCCACATGCCGCCTTGTTCCAGCACCTTCTTCTAGTTCCTCTCATGTTTCCTCCTGACATAGGACCTTTGCACGTACAGTTTCTTCTGCCTGGAGCATTCCTTACCGCTCATCACCTGAGTAACTCCTACTCACAATTCAGACCCAGTTCATGTGCCATTTCCTCAGAAAAAGCCTTTCCTGACCGCCGGCCCCACTCTGTGATCTCACAACACTGTGCCCCTCCCCAACGCACATGTAGTGACTTGATACATCTCTCTGTCTCTGGAAAGCTCCAGAAGAAACCCAGGCCTCTTTTGGCCACTGTCGCACCTCCTGGGCCAAGCACAGTGCCCATCGTATAAGCATAACAACGGCTAACATTTATCAGGTGCTTCTTCATGCCAGGCACTGTCTTGGACGCCCCCTAAGCGGCTGTCCGTGCACGAAGGGCAATTTTGCCTGCATTAGCCGCTGCGTGAAAATGCTCGTAGCCGCCACGTGATGGTGTTTCCCATCAGCTTCGCGGTGGCCTATCCGGGTTGCCCTTTGCTCCTCTCTTCTATCTGGGCGGGGAGTGGAGCAGGGAGGGGACCGTGCACACTAGTGACAAGTTCACGGCGACGACGGTTAAGTTCTAGAGACACAGAGGGAGGTGCAGGTGACCAAAGCCAGCAACGCTTAGCTTCGACCTGGTATTTACCAGGTGTAGGCTGGTCAACTATGCGCTCAGCTAGCGAGGAAAATGAGGAAAAAAAAAAAAATTAAACACTCGTGGAATCCTGAAATTTCATGGATGGGCACGGACTGCACTTGACAGGTATAGCCGAGATCCGAAAAGCCATTTGGAATTTGCTGGGAACTCACCGTGGGCACCCTCCGTCCCCCAAAGATGCCCATTTCCCTGAAAATGGGGAAAACCGCGGGCAAGGTGGGGCCACAGCTCTCCTAGAATCATGCCTGCCTTCTCAAGTGGCCTTTCTGCCTCCTAGGAAGCTGAGGCTCAGGGAGGGGGCCCGGGCGGATTTGAGCCCAGGTTGGCCAGACCAGACCACAAAGCCTGCAGCTTCCTACTGAAGCATCCAGCTGGCTGTGCAGCCTGACCTCTCTGGGCAGCACCGGGAAATTACCCGTCATGGGATCCTTTGTTCAAATGAGAGCAAAGATCTCAGAGAGAACAGAGCTGTTCTAAGGAAAGGCGGGGGCAGGGGCGTGGGGGGGCCACCCTCAACTACCTGCCCGCCCCCCCCACTTCCCCAACACACACATCCTCTTTGATTGAAGGGAGGGCTCACAGCTGTGATTTGCCGATTTGAACCATCTAAAAGGGAAACGGCCACTTGGGGGGCCCACCGCAGCTGGGATGCAGTGCAGACCCTTGGGGAGCCCTGGATTCTGGCTGTCACTCTGGGCAGCTCCGGGATGAAAGGCTGCAGAGTGAAGCTGTTCC